TGGCATTCTATTTCATAAGTATCTTCCATAATACTTTTCATCACTTTTTAATACCCGATATCAATAAAGCTGAATTTTGTTTCCTGGCTACTCGGTAGTGATGGGATTCTTGTTTTTTGACCAGTCGAGATTTTGTGCTAGGTACACATCCTAGTTTGAAGTTCTTTCTCGTTACCCTGTGTTCCCAGAATGGATTGACCCCTGTTAATTAAAGAGACTTTTCTGTCATCTAGAGGATAACTGCTGTAAGAGAGAGTAGAGGCCTTTTTTCACTGCTGATCCATCATAAGGGCCAGTAATAAAAGCACTAAGAACTTTTTGTAAAGTGTTGATATAACATTATATAAATAATGAAAGGAGTTAAGTCAGAAGCACCAAACTCTTTGTTGTTTTTGATGGTTAGGGTGTTTTCTCCATTTGTATGGGGTTGTTATTCTGTTGTCTTTGTGCACATTTGAAATTCTAGTGGAGTGATATTTCTACGACCCACTACAACTTTGAAATTATCTGTACAAAAGTTATATACTCCAAAAGTTTCCTTCCTCCCTCTCCCACCCAAGTAAAAATTTTATTTGATAAAATGCACATCTCATGATTTTAATCTTCTTTATTACAAAGGCAATTTGCGGCTGCTCTGGCTGATTTGCAGGAGGCTGTGAAGTTGTGTCCCACCAACCAAGAAATCAAGAGGCTTCTGAGTCGTGTAGAAGAGGAATGCAAACAGCTGCAAAGAAGCCAGCAGCAGAAGCAACAGTGCCCTCCCTTGGCCCCAGCCAATGACTCAGACAATGAGGAGGAGAACTCAGCTCCTGGATTGGATGATCAGTTTCCCATGGAGGAGGCTGAAGAGGAGGAGACAGTGCAGCTGGGGGACTTGGTTTCACTGCCTGTGAGGCCTCAGCCCTCTTCCTCAGTACCTGCTCCATACAGCAGAACCCTTCAGGAAGGGCTGCAGCCGAAAGCAAGACCAGCATCACCCCAGAATAGGCCAGGAAGCAGTAAGCTCCCAAGGGAGCCAGTTGTTCAGCCAGGTTTGATAATGCAGCCTACTAAGCGGGCACAGATTGTGAAAACCAACCAGCACCTGAGTTCTCTTCAGTCGAACTTGAGAACTGGAGTGGGTACTAGCGGTGCAAAAATTCAGGCTTCTTCTCAGAATCCTCCCCCAAGTCCCATGCCAGGAAGGTCCCCTGCGATTCTCACTAATAGAAGCCAGCATTTAGAGGGGACAGGCTCTTTCACTGCAGGAGCCAACTCTGGCCTATATGGTGACCGGGTGGGCATCAATCAGAATGCACATCTGCAGTGCAGTGAGAGTGGCTCTGCATATCCTTTACCAAGCAAGGTTAAAACTGCAGAGAGGCTTCTAGCTCATGCTTCCTTAACTCTGGATGTAGCCCCTCCAAGCCAGAGTGTGTCAGTGAATTGTAGTGATATGAAGCATGTAGGTTCTTTGGCTAATTCAGCCTCTAACGGTTCTCCATCTGGAAGCATGAAAATGTCCAATTCAGCCAGCAGTTTAGCTTCAAGTAGCAGTTTTTCAGATGGTTTGAAGGCCCAAGGGGCAGATGCAAGAAATAAGGAGAAGGTGGCTAATAACCAGGGTCAGAGTGGTATGGCTGAGCACAGACCACGCAATACTCCATTCATGGGCATTATGGATAAGACTGCAAGATTCCAACAGCAGGGAAATCCATCCAGCCGTACCTGGCACTGCCAGGTGACCGAGGGGTTACTGACAAACCCATCTGCAGCTGGCCTGCAGTCTTCACACTGTGAGCAGCCCTCTGTCAAACAGGCAGGAGGATACAATAACCAAACTAAAATGTGTTCTGCTTCCCCCCTGGGTGGAATTGTCCACAGTGGGGCCCAGTTGAAAGAACTTGAAGAAAACAAGTGCCAAATACCAGTCCATTGTCAAGACAGCCGGAGAGCCAAGAATGTTTCTCACTTGTATCCGGAGAGCATCTCGAAACAACAGCCCCCTATTAGTAAGGAAACTCATCGAAGTCATATCACTTCAGCAAAACCAAAGCGATCGTTCATAGAATCCAATGTGTAAGCATTAAGAGAAATGCCATGTAAAACAGACAAAGCAATGTACTCGTGCCTGGTGTGAATCACTAATTGTGGCTGTTTTATCCTAAAAATAAGAGCTTTTTAGTTATGGTTTTTGATGTTTTCTGTGGAGCTGATGTGATTGGGTATTGACCATCAGTGCTATCAAAAAAAGTAGGATAAACCACTTTAATATGAAGCTAAAAGTCACCATGAACAAGAATGTTAACTGGAATGTCAAGCAGAGCTGGAAAAAAATGGTAAATGAATGGTTAGCTGTGACTGATTGTAAAGTTATAAAATAGGGAGCATCCAAAGAGATACTGTTTTGTGTCCTTTGCTTCTCTTATGAGATGGTTTATAATGATCTCTTTTCTGGGTCTTTGATATGATGAAAATTACAGTATTTATCTAAAGAATATTCACACTTTTCTCACTCCATGTGTGAGAAACTCCTAGAACTGTAGGTAAAAAGCAGTAAATACGTGTGACCCAGGACTGTAGATAAATGCTTTTTGAATAAGGAGTATTATACTTTATTGATGGTTCAATAAATCCCTAGTTTAATATATAAGACATGATTTAGGAGTGATTTCTTAAGACACTTCGAGTTGAGTGTGAGGTGGGACTGTAAAGTAATGTGATTGCCCCCCCCCCCCCCCCCACCGTTTTAAACAAATATCCATATAATTGTTGTCTCCATTAAGGAAGTTGCCTTGAGATGCTATGCATTTATTTCAACAATGTTGTCATTGTTCAGAACCTTCTTTGGAACTGCTCTTCAGAACCCATAGCTCTGTCCTCCCTGAAGGCTAATTTTTATCTTTTGAAGGGGAATACAGCCCAAGGTGAACAAAATCAAGGCTAATGGTGATGATTTGGGTAGAAGTAAAGTATTTACTATAAAGTAATGCAAGTGGTTCTCTCAGTGTGCAAACTGAGTGTGAAGGTAGTTCTAGAAGGAGGGTTCTAGAAATATGAGCAATGGTAGCATTGCTGCGGTAAAGTCCCAAGGTGACTGCTTTGAAAAATAAAAACTTGTTTAGGTGTAAATTCTGCTCAGTTGATAAAATCACTCTTTACTTTACAAGTCACACTCTCTTTGAATATATATGTATGTATATATAAAGGTAGTCCAGTTTTACTTAAATATGTAAATATAATTTTATTTTCAAATAGTTAATCCAGAAAAATACAATGCATGTTTGTTTTTTTTTTAAGCTTCAACCATGCTGATTATTGCACTGAATAATATATTATTATGGCATGTTAACAATATACCAGTAACCGCACTTTATATAGTTTATATTAACACCTTTAAGGTGCTAAACTCCAAAATTATGTATCATTCATTTGTGGTGATAAGGTACAGGAAAAAGGTGTTTTTATATGAAACATGATGTGTTATTTGAAGGTTTCACTGTAACAGTTTGAAAGCGTTGGATTACATTTGTTTTTTATAGGATGGGGTGTGACATTTATTTTCCAGAGTTGGGGAGAAGAAAATTCTATATTTACAGAAGTGTTTTCAAAATGAATAGTTGTAACGAAGTTCCTGTGAGGGTATCTTTTGTACAAGTTGGAATATTCCATTGTCATTCTTCAGCATTTGTTCTGTGTGTACAGTGTGTACTTTGTAAAAACAGCTTTATCCATTTTTACAAGCTTTTCATGAGTCTGCATATGATTACTTTGGCTTATTTATTTTCTTTGATATTTGTATGTCTTATTCTTTTGTTATGTAGTTTGTTTTTGCACAGCTACTGTACTTTTCCATATGGAATAAAGACCATTAATATAGTTTGCTCTGAGTTGAACAAAACCCTGGATGTGGCGAGAGTGTACTGTTTATGAGAATGATACGTGCAGTGACTTAACTTTCTTTCCCGAGGCCTTATAGGAGTTCTAGAAGCTGAACATTGACATTAGGTCTTTGTTCCTCTGAAACACATTTTTCATAGATCAAATCTTTATTTTCACTTTCTAGCTGTGCCAGAAAAACTTAGTGTCTGTTTTGACTGGCAACAGGATGGGTAATGCTCCAACTCTCAATCATTTTTGCCAAAACACACAGAAAATTGAGTGTTACTGTCACAGGTTTGCCTTTAGCACATTTATATTACAATATGTTTCATCTTAAAATGTTTGTCTTCATACCAACATGAATTTTAATTTCAAAGTAAAGTATGAACAAGGGTAAATGGCAAGCTGTGCTACCCCAAGATAAAGTTTTGATATACGAAGATGTGAACTTGATCTTTACATTTATCTAGTCAATTGTAATACTAAAGTATCTCCAAATCACCTCTTATTTACATTGACTCAGGGTGACTTTTTTTTTTAAATCCAGCAAATTCTTTAGTTTGGTTAAAGAAATTTCTTTGAAGCAAATTTTAAGACTGTTTTTGGATAGATTCCTAATTGAAGGAAGACAGAGGAATATAAGGAGTTTAATATGTTCTGTAGATAGATAGTGGAAAGTTGCCTTAGGTTAAGGGAAGAAGATTTATTAGGCACTTAATGTATGCTAAGCACTGTGCTAAGAGCTGGTGATACAAACTCAAGGGGGGAAAAACAGTTCCTGTCCTCAGAGCTTATGTTCTAATGGTGAAAGATAATACAGAAAAAGGAGCTGAAAAGTTGGGGGTGGGGAGGGAGGAAGAAAGCATACACACAGGGAATGAAGACTGGCCAATCTGGGCCCCTCCACAAAATGGAGGCGCCAGGAAGTACTCAACAGTATGCTACTCAGTGAACTCCCTGCTCCCTCGTATCATGCACATTTTCCTGAAGCAAGGTAAGACTCAATTTTTTTTATGAGGCCACCTGTGTTGCCTCAAATTGAATAAACCTGTGGATTTTCATTCATTCTTTGGTTAAAAGCACTCATGGTTCTGCCTGCTCAGATAAAATGATAATTATTGAACCTTTTACTTTAAGTGTCACTTAAAATAGCATTTATTTATTCCTATTCCAGATTTTAAATTGTGACATTCTCTTGCTTAAAGCAAATCCAGTGTCTTAAAAAAAAACAAAACACTACAGGTGCCATAGAAATACTTTTGCATTAATGGTTGATTCTTCAGGTAGTGAACAATACCTTATAATTTCTTTTGAAAGAAGTGTGATCCATATCTAGTGATATTAAACAGGAACTGAGAAGAATTGTTTTAGTAAAATGCTGGAATGCAAAAGTAGCAGTATGTAATTATCATATGTGAATTTAATATGTTGTAAATGAGATTTTATTTCTGAATAGGAATTTTTTTCCCACTAAATTCACAAAATAGGAGCTATGATATTTTTATAATCATTTTATAGGTGATCTGCTTTCTATAATTTAAGCAAGAAGACTTCTGTAAGAAGATTTGCTTTCCCTAGGTTTTTCTTTCTGTAGATGGATATCTTTGATTGTTTAAATGTTTTTTGTTAGCTCATAATTTAGATGTAGAACAAAGGCTTTCTGATCTAAGAATAATGGTAGGTCTTAATTTGTTCCTTCTTTTTGAAATGAAGCTTATTTCACATAGAGGATGGATACATTCAGAGGAATGTAGTGTTCCTTTTTCTTTTGGTACACTGACATAAAACCTTCCTCATCATAGTCCTGTAAGTTGGATGTTTATTTCCATGCTGCTGTTCTCATTTTACAGATGAGGAAAACTGACCTAGAGAGATTATGATTTCCCTACAATCTTGCAGCTGGTAAATGCTGAATCCAGAACTAGAATGATATCTTCTGACTCCCAGGTCCTGGTGCTCTTTATGTTATATCATCTATTTACTTATATAGCATATTGCTAGCAGAGTCAGTGGTGGCCACTAAACACTAAATCTCATTGGAAATGTGAAAGCCACTCAAATTAACCAAGATATCATAAAGTTCTTTTAGAATTAAAAAAACCTTGCACCCAAATCTAACTTCTTTGAACCTAAAATTCCCTACGGGGGCAAGTCTTCTCTAAGGGAAGAGACCAAATTATCAGACTGTCACATAGAAAAGTTCTTTGCCCACAAGCTTGGAGTCAATAGCAATTTGTGGGAAAAAAGAGGATAAAATATCAGTTTTAAATACTATAATGTCCTTGTAAACTCTAGCAGAAAGGCATTGTGACATGCTTTGTACTTCCCTCCAAACTGTGCCTGAATAGCTTTTTCAATCTGACTTGATTTTTGTAGAAACTTGATAATTAGCTCTTCCCCAACTGTTTCCTATATTTTCAGTAACAAACCACAGATTTTAATATAATTACTTGCTAAATTTATCAGAACTGATAGAACCTCCCTAAATTCTTACTCAGGTAAGGTGTGGGCCTACCTCTGAAGTCCCTTTCAAACCTGAGATTTTGTAAAATTGTGTACACACAGACATACACACACACAAACACATTCACAAAGGATGGTCTGACATTTAATTTAGAGTATTAATATGTTTTTTATCGGAAAGGGCAGTTCAAATGAATATATGTTAAAATTCTGCTCAAAATGGGCCACCAGTGCTACAATGAAGATTTCTTTAGAGTGGTATTTGTTGTAAGAATATTTGATACAAATACCTACTAAGGAGCCAGTTTGGCTATAATAATTGTTGTTGAGATATTTAATATTAAAAGACATTGTTACCTAATGTCAAAAGAAACCTTTCTGTTGTATATATTCATTTGACTGCTTTGTATTTGTATAAAAATGACATCATAAATAAGGTTAGATACAGAATTTAATTCACAATATGTTTTAAAGACAAAATATAGAAACTTTAGTTAAACAAAATTTACCTTACCTTCTGTTTGGATATAACTTTTTGAGTTCATATATGTTTTCCTTTAAAGCCGCTAGAAATTTACCTCATTGGAGTTAGTAATTATCTAAGTAAGGATATCTAAACAGTTTCATTTCTGATGAGTCTCTAGCCAGCGATCGATGGCCATTTTCAGAGTCCTATTTGGTGTCAGTATGAGTGAAGGAAGAATCAGATTAGTCATTGGACTTGTACGCTTCTTTTTGCTGATCCAGTTTTCTATTGCTTCCTTTTCATAGGAATATCCATCTATAAGAAATAATTAGAAAACCCATCATTTGACAAAAACAAACTTGACTCCTACAATGATTTGAGTTGTAAAATCTACGACTGATGCCAATTGTCTTAATGTTGTGATTTAATGGGTACTTGAAAGGTTTCTGTACTCTTTTCTCCCCAACCAGCCTTGAAAAAAACTGAGGCATTAAGTATTATGAAAATTAGAGCCATTAAAACACTTTAGCTCAAATTAGTTTACCAGATAGTTTGCTGCAATGTTAGAAAGCTAAGAGCAGGATCCTGTGGGAACAATAAATTTTGAAATGGAAAAGAAAGAAGAAAGGATTCAGTGCTGCAGTTGTAGAAGGCACTCTTGGATGGGGTGATGGGAGGGATTGCAAGGCAGGGATGGTTAAAGAGTTTGGAAACCTCAGGAAGTTAAAGGACTCTGGGTTCTTGGGTGATAGCCCATGCTAATGCACTGACTATTTTTTCTAGGGCTCCCTTGCCCAGGACTCAGTGGTCAAATGAGTCCACCATATTTTGTATCTTTTATGTGAATAGTAAAAACAGTTTCTTTCAATGGCAAGTGATTCTTTAAAAAGTTCAATAACAGTAGCCATTAAATAAGTATAGTGTGATGGGCTCTTCTTGGGGCATGGGAGTAGGGGCGCTAACATAAGAGACCAGCATATCTGTCCTTGGTGCTTACAATTGGTTTTCTATCCCCATTTGGGTGTTGCTTATGCCAAAACATGAATGGGGTGGGCAGAGAAAAAGTACCATCCAAGAAATTCAATTAGGAAAAAACTATATAAACATGTAATATGAATAAACAAAAAAAACAAACATGGCATAATGGAAAAAGAGGCAGCTTTGGATCAGGGAAAACCTGAGTTTTAAGTCCTGTCTTGGATACATACTAACTATCTGACCTTGGGCAAGTTACTTAATCTTTGCAGATTAGGTGATCCATCTATTTTTCTGTAAAACAGAGGTTCTTAACTTTTGTGTATGTCATGCATGTTTGGTGAAGTCTATGGATCCAGTCTCAGAATGTTTTCAAATGCACAAAATCCATTGGATTTCAAAGGAAACCATTTATGCCGAAATAAAGTTATCAAAATGTTTTTTAAATGTTAGTTTTTAAAATGTGAGTTTAAACTGTGGATCTAATGGCTACATCAATTTCAAAGTAGCGATGGTGAGTGTAAGTGATATTTTAAGGTATCTGTGATACTGAAAAAAATATTTCTACTGGTACCAGAGGTATTTTTTATACTATTGTAATTTGTTGCTAAATTTCAGTTAGAGGTTAGTGAAAATGAAAATTCAATTTTTTTCTCTTGCCAAATTCAAAGAACCCTTGAAATGTACTGAAAGGTCTCAGATTAAGAACACCTGCTCTAAAACATATACATTTGAAATGCCTTTAAAAAAAAACACAACAAACTCTATTCTTAGACTGTACAGCTTGCCTGAGGATTCCCTTACTGCTCCATGCTGTCCTTTCTCTTGTCCCCATCTGTTCTCAGGAACTTCACAATATAAACTTGAGTGTAAATGCCATCTTCCTTCCCAGAGTACAATTTAATGCACTTCTATTTATATTACACACTACTAGTATTTCAACACAGAAACCTGTGTCCCTTGTTATGGGGGTTTCTTTCAAACCCATTTCACAATTTTGGAGAAAGCACATTTTATTAAAAAAAGAATAATCCTGTATTTTAATCAAATGGTATTAGTATCTGCCAACGTGTATGTGAATAACAAAGTAAAGTTCCTTTAATCTTACATAATCTTAATATGTGGTACAGATCTTTGAAGCTTTAGCTACTAATATACATCCTATTAATGAAAAGAATGTATTCTGAGGACACATCTCTTTCAAAATTTGACAATGAGATAGAAACATCATTAACTAACAGTAACATTAATACAAAAGATACGGAATTTCATTTTCTACATGAACAGAGTAGTACATTCACTGATGTTGATATTTCCTCCACTAGTAGAGATCCAAAACTGTTCTCTGACTTAAAAGATGGTCTTCAACAATTGCTATGATTAAAACATTCATCACCCTCCAACCTACATATTAAGAACGTAAGTATTTGGTTATCTCAGGGTAGAATGATGAAATGTCTGACCTAGATGGGGCAGGAAAGAAGGTGAGGGGAAGAGCACAGAAGGGGGGGTGGAGCCTGAAGGAAAAGGAATCTACTGTAGCTAATTAAATAATAGGTCCAGAATAACACAGCGAAAACAGGCACAGAAGACTCTTGGTGAGAGGCAAAGGAGTCTAACACAAAAATATAAAAGCACAAGAAAAAAGGACTTAACCAATTATTTTATACATCAGAGTGAATGAACTTGAAGATAAAATATGCAGAGGTAACTTAAGGATCATAGGTCTTCTGGAAGAACATGAAAAATCAAAGAACTTGAAAATGATTCTGCAAGAAATAATATGAGAAAACTGCCTATAACTTTCGAATGCAAACAATAAAGCATTGCTTGACCAAACCAAAAACCATGCTTGACTCTTCAAGGCAGTGGTTAAATTTCACAATTTCAGTTAAAAAGAATTTGTTTACAAGTATCTAGGGGAAAAAAACCCTTCAAATATAAAGGAAAATTGAGGGTGGAATCAAGATAGCAAAGTAAGGCAGGAACTCTCCCATATTCACTTCTGAACAACTATAAAATATGCCTCAAAATGAATTCTGGAGCAGCAGAACAAATAAAAGGACACTGTGAAAAAATGTTCCAGCCCATGACAATGGTTAACACATTCCAGTGCAGTTGGTATCCAGGCAGGCTAGCAGAAGGCCGGGTCCCAGCAAGCCTGTGGCAAGGCCCCTAGCTATGAGGTTCTGTGGCCCTGGCACTGCAGGACAGCTGACAGACCCTACTGTCCTGGTGCAGCAGGCCAGTGGCAAGGTCCTATGGCCCTATGCTTTAGGCACAAGAAACCTGGGACAGTGCCCCTTCCACCCCAGGAGCAGAACCCAACTTTAAAAATCATGAACTAGACTGGGGAAAAAAATGAGCAAAAAAAAAAAAGAAAGAAACTGACCACAGAAAGTTACCTCAAGAAAAATGTGAATTGGTGTCAGTCCAAAAAGAACTCCTGGAAGAGCTCAAAAAGGATTTTTTTTTTTGCTTAGGCAGTTGGAGTTAAGTACGTGCCCAGGGTCACACAGATAGTAAGTGTCAAGTATTTGGTCTGAGGCCAGATTTGAACTCAGGTCCTCCTGACTTGAGGGCCGGTGCTGTATCCACTGTGCCACCTAGCTGCCCCCAAAAAGGATTTTAAAAATAAAGTTAGAGAGGTAGAAGAAAAACTGGGAAAAGAAATGAAAATGATGTAAGAGAATCATGAAAAAATAGTCAACAGCTTAGAAGTTCAAAAAGTGGAAAAAAAGATATACAAAAATTCACTGAAGAAAACAACTCCTTAAAAAATAGAACTGGCCTAATGAAAAAGGAGATACAAAAGTTCATTGAAGAAAATTATTCCTTATAAATTAGCATTGGGCAAGTGGAAACTAATGACTCCATGAGATATCAGGAAACAATAAAACAAAATCAAAAGAATGAGAAAATAGAAAATGTCAAATATTTCATTGGAAAAATAATCTGGAAAATAAATTGAGAAGAGATAATTTAAGATTTACTGGACTATCTGAAAGCCATGATCAAAAAAAAGGAGCCTAGGTATCATATTTCAAGAAATTAACAAGGAAAACTACTTTGATACTCTAAAACCAGAAAGTAAAATAAAAATTGAAAGACTCCTTCTGAAAGAGATCCCAAAATGAAAACTCCCGGGAATATTCTAGCCAAATTCCAGAACTCTCAGGTCAAGGAAAAAAATACTGCAAGCAAACAATTTAAATATCATGGAGCCACAGTCAGGATTACATAGAATTTAGCAGTTTCTACATTAATTGATATTAATGTGATATTCCAGAAGGCAAAGAAGCTAGGATTACAATCAAGAATCACCTATCCAATGAAACTGAGTATAATCCTTCAGGGAAAAAGATGGACATTCAAGGACATACAGGACTTTCACACATTCCTGATGAAAAGACCAAAGCTGAAAAGAAAATTAGATTTCCAAATGGAAGACTCAAGAGAAGCATAAAAAGGTAAAGAGGAAAGAGAAAACATAAGAGATTCAATAATGTTACATTGTTTACATCCCTACACAAGAAGCTGATACTTGGAATTCTTAAGAATTATCATGGTTAGGGCAGTTAAGAATATTCACAGACAGAGGGTACTGGTGTAAGTTGACTTTGATGGGATGATTAAAAAAAATTAAGGAGTAAGAAAGAGGATTGCACTTGGAGAGAAGGGAAGGGAAAGGTAGAATGGGGTAAATTATTTTACATGAAGAGGCGCAAAAGATATATTACATTGTAGGGAAAGTTTGGGGAGCATCGTTTGAACCTTACTCTCATCAGAATTGACTCAAACAGAATAACAAACACTCAGTTGGGTACAGAAATCTATCTTATCCTACAAGGTAGCAGGGAGGGGATTGATAGAAGGATGGATTAGGGGAGGCAGTAGTTAGAAGCAAAATACTGTTGAAGAGGGACAGGATGAAGGGGGAGGAGGGGAGGAAAGGAAGAACAAAGAAAGAGGGAAGGAGAGGAAAAACAGTAATTGTAACTGTGAATGGGACAAACTCACCATAAAATGAAAGCAGATAGAGTGGACTAAAAACTAGAATCCTACAGTGTGTTGATTACAAGAAACACATTTGAAGCAGAGAGACACACACAGTAAAGGGCTGGAGCAGAATCTATTATGTTTCAGCTGAAGTTAAAAAAAAAAAGCAGGGGTAGGAATCATGATCTTAGACAAAACAAAAGCAAAAATAGACCTAATTAAAAAGATAAAGAAGGAAACTACATCTTACTAAAAGGTACCACAGACAATGAAGTAATTTCAGTATTGAATATATATGCACCAAATGGCAGAGTGTCCAAATTTTTAAAGAACTTAAATGA